AAATACTTGAAGAAAATAGCTCGAAGAAGTTTTTTTCCTCTACTGTACGATTTTTAGCCACTTTTTACTCTAAGCTAGCGAAATAAACTGTGTTGTGTTAGATATCTTTCTGAGAATTCCTGCATTAACTGGCCTCAAAATTACTATTTTGTTTGCCTCAGCAATTTATGTACCTATTTAGGTCATTACTATGTATGTTCGTACATACATATGTATAGTAGGTGTCTCAACTTGACTCCTATCTTAAATATCCCTTATGATTTATTTTAATGGAGAAATAATCTGCATTCAACTAAATTTAATAGGCTGCGTGACTTTTTGCCCACGTTCTACATTTTCTCCGACTTCGGGTCACTTGCATAAGTTAGCTGTATATACATACATACATACATACATATATAAATAAGTAGGTAAGAGAAAGTGTTGCAGCGCAGTAGACATTCATGGAGTCCAGTGTTTAATCAGTTTAATGAATTTGTAGGTACTTTTAAATAATGTCTACCGCAGCTTCCGACATTCAAGCAACCGCTGCGAGTTGCTGCCCAAACCTGATAGAATGAAATTGCAGTTGGTGCAAAAATTAAAAATTCATTAAGGTGAACGAGAAAGGAGAGAATATATATACAAGCCAAAATAGTATGCATGTGTTTTCAGGTACATACACATATTTAGGTGCCTAAGGAATTATGTGTAACGGGTTAGGGGAGTTTTGAATTATGAAATAGTGATTTGCATGCCTTATTAGCATTGCAGAAACCATTTTTAAGATAGACTAAATGGAATGCAGCAAATGGCGAAGAAAGCAAATAAGAACGGAAGCTGTGCTATGTTTTCACAAGCTAGCGAAATGTCGACAAAGAACAAAGCGAAGTGCAGCAGTGCCATGGCAACTGAATTTTACAAATTCCACAACAGCGGACAGGCGCGCGCCGCAAACACCGCCAAGTAGGCAAGATGCTGCACCAACTCGACGCGAGTCTTAACTACCTTCTCATTTATTCAGCCACAGCGGAGCGCTTTCCAACACACCGAGATGTCACATTATTTATGGCGTGGTCGCATTTATGTAAATGCAAATCACACACCGCAACCACCTGCGCTGTATCCCATCATAAGCGGCATTCGTCTGCAAATTTCCTGCCACGCGCACAAAAACACACGCACACATATACACTTTGCCAAGTATTTAAAGCCTGCAGATTCCATGCTTCTCGCGCCCTTTCTTCCTTATACAGAGACACCACAAGGTTAGTGGCGCGGAAACAGCGTCTACGATTTTATGGCATTCCTGAATGAGCGTTGCAGCCACAAGTCGTAAACTGCCTGAAATTGCAGCTGAACTTTTGTAGTCGTCGCTCACACCTTCTCACACGCTTCACCCTAAACCAATTCGCAAGGCAGCTGAAGCGCAAAGCTCTATTTACTAGTTGAATTTCCTTAATTTTTCCTCAGTTTTTCTATGTTCGCGTCTGCCGCTTGCCACTGCGCGCTCTAATTTCCCATCTTCTAATGCTGCTTCTATTATGGCAGCGCGTCAAGTTCAACCAAGAAATGTGCGCTTTATTAGGCTGCACCCTTCTTCGCGACAATCTCGCTCTGTCCTTCATATCATACGCCTGCCTTCTCTATCCCTACACACAAGCATCTGCATTCGCCTGAACTTTTGTCAGAGTTTACACTTAATTAGCGCGCAACTTGATGGTGCAGCGGCGGCAAATTCAAAAGTCCGTAAAGGCAAATGCGAATGCGTCATAGAATTCAAATGCAAATGCAAATGTAATTGCAATGGAAATGAAGTAGGAAATGGCAAGTTTCTCCAATGAGTCCATTGTTGTTGCACGCTCACTCACTGCCTGTCCATTCGGTCAGTTTGTCTGTTTCTTAGCCGTCAGTCCGTTGGCCATTCCATTTACACATAGCGCTTTTAAGCTAATTTCTTTGTGTTTTACTTCATTTAGTTTTAGTTGGCTACTTTTTTTTTGCCTTTTCTATCCCGACATATATTTTTTTTTAATAATTTTTTATTGTCTGCAAACTGCACTTTTAATTAGTTCAAAAATTTATTGCGTTGTTCAAACAAATCCGCTAATTAAATATTCGCTGTAATTTGAAGAAAGTTTTTACTAATGCAAAAAATAAAAAAAGGATTGAGCACAAAAGTTTTTAAAATTGTAAAAGTAAGCGGGTTGGCGCTCGTACAAGGCAATTAGGAAAAATATAGCCGAAGTTTTAGAAGCGTTAGTAAATTGAAGGCGATGAAATACTTAAATTAAAATAATGTTTTTATTTTGAAATTTTATGAAGGACCACAGCGTTATTTTTCACAAATTTATTGTTAATTTATTATTATTCACTTATGCAGATACGAACATATATACGTTTTTATAAGGTTTTTTTGTGAATATTCGCATTCGCAACTCTAGAGCTTCCGCATTCAATTTAAAATTCGCATTCGCAATTGGCTGTTGAAATACGACGTGAGGTCGTGTAACTTGGGCGCCAACCACAGCTCGAATAGAACCACATTTACATATTTTGTATTTGTCATAGGTGTCAAAATTGGTAGGGTAACTGAAAGTCAGGAGGATACATCCGACATTGTCAGCCCGATGCTATTTTCCAAAGTTTTATATCTCGAAACTTCCTCTGCCGCCGGAGAAAGTTTCCCTGATCTCATGTGCTGGCCATGACATTCGATATTGACGACCGGGTATGGAATTGATGACCTCTGTACGAAAGTAAACGGCTACTTTCCCACGGAGCCCAACCCTCTCCCAGAGAAATAAACGGCGACTCTCTTAACTACCCGGATGCAGGAAGTCAGCCTTCAACTAAGCATTCACGCCGATGACACACCGATTCCGTTGGTGAACAACCCGTCGCACAGCGACAATGTGCCTTTTGATATCGCCTGTGTACCCTTTCCAATATGCCATTGACGTGTACGGCCTAACAGGTTTCGCTCGAGGAAGGCTCTCGAGCCTGGGCGTTGTCCAGACCTATTTCGAACAACCTTTGGACCCGACGTCTACCGGCGAGTAATCAGCGGTATTCATAGAGACTCGGTCGCCGCCTGCTATGCCTCTCGGTCCGTGATCGGAGCCCAATCACCACTTATTGCAAACACAGAGCTTCGACTGCTTCCAATAGCCAGCGTTACTCTGACCCAATTACGATCAAGATTTTGTAGTCTCCTCAACAGTACCATACTCCATACTCAATCCTGATATACCCAATGAGTGCGACCCACTAAGAAAAAGTCGCAACATTACTTAAATTATATATGCGA